CCCCAAAACCCCAAAACCCCAAAACCCCAAAACCCCTATTTTCTTGTAGAAACTTGAATAATTATGGGCTTTTTAAAAAATTATAAAATTAAAAATGTTTAATTTAGCAAACAATATTGGACAGAATCCTAACCCAGATAAAGGATGTATGGACTATGTGAAAGAGTATTGGGCTTCAGTCCCCTTCTACAATAGATTACTTCTTGTGGTTCTACCTACTATCTATGGATTGTGTTGGTTATACCCATTGCAGAAATACTCAATGAATATGATATCCTTGACAGTGTATCGTAAAGAATGTAAGTATTGTGGATAAGCTCTAGTCTGGAGGATATTCATCGCCCCATATGTGCATTTCAGACTCCTCACTCTCTTCTTCGTTTTGATATCGTATATCCCGACCGGCTGCATTAGGGAGAAGGCGATTGGAACTGTGAAGATAATCTTAAATTTCATGATCATGAACATGATAATTCAGATACTGTTTCTTGGAATTTCGTATGTTATTCTGAACTTTATTAAACCGAATGTTTTCTTTATATCCGTAGGTAGGTAGTTGTACAATTTTGTAGGAATATGGCCAGTTATCATTGCAGAGATCGTTATCGATTACAATAGAATGCCAGGTATGGATTAGGTTAAAATTTTAGACCATGAAAGACGCTTCTGCTGTTGCCCATTTGCGTTAAAATCTAAATATCACCCTTGGATATATGTGATACTCTTCAGTATAATGAACCCGGTTGGAGCTCCAGCAATGATCTCAGGTTTCATAGTTGGATATTTATATGTCTTCAAGATCCTTACTTGACTAGATATCAGCAATGAAACAGCTAGATGTCTAGAAAATAGTTTCTTATTCTCATTTTTTGCCTCAAACTTTGATTGCTTTGTTAAACTTCAAAATGCAGAAGAAGCCTATATTTATGGTGAAGATGGAAGAGGAAGAGGAAATGGTATGCCAAATTACATCCGCCAGCAAAATGATAATGGAAGAGGCTCAGATGTGCAGACACCTTCAGGCAATACACAAAGCAATACTCACAAAAGGGGATTCCCTGGACAGGGGGTTCGACTTGGTGGTGAAGAAGTAGTTTAAAAATTAATTTCAATATCTTCGGTCAATACTGGGGTTTTGGGGTTTTGGGGTTTTGGGGTTTTGGGG